GACAAAATATATCAATTACAGCATAAACAATAGTACATGGTTAGTTGAGCATAATAGAGACAAGACATCGAGATAATCAAAAAGACATTAAGACAGGAACCGAAGCAAGGTGAAGCAGAAGAAAGGAAGGCGACGATGCCACGCCAAATACAATATCCATCCATGCCCACCACCCAGGTGCTAAGATAAGTAAATGTACGTACGTTCGAGAGCGAGGAAAAGAAACGAAGCAAAGTGCCTTGCTTGGTTGTCTTTCCCGTCTCGATCAAAAGGAAGGGCGCCGGCGCCAGGGGGCCTGCCTTGGTGAAATGGTTAACTCCCCGGATATGCATGTAGTGAAGAGATAGTCAAGAGAAATGGAGAAAATTAGATGGAATCATTAACAAGGCCAGTCAGGTGGGCTCGATGTAGATACTACTTTGAAGATTCAGCATCAACGCCGCCCATTTCCTGGTCCTCGTCCGCCGGTTCTTCGCCTTTTACTTTGGGGGCGGCAGTGTCTTTCTCACGACTAGCAGATGAAGCAGCCTTGTCGTCAGATTTAGGCTCAGCTGCGGTGTCAGAAGTGGCGACGGCTGGTGCTGTGTCCTCTGCAACGGCACCAACCCAAGTCCTGAACTGCTGGTTTGACTTGTCGACTTCATCCTTGCTCAGTCCACGGGCCCAGGCAGGGTTGTTCACAAACTTCCCTCTGAACCGATCTCTGCGCTTTTCTTTCAAGCTGGCGTATTCCCTCATGTTCTCTGGGACTTTGATTTCCTTGTTGGTTTCATGGCGATACCACCAGTCCTGGGTACCTGGCTCGTACAAAATGTTATAGCTGTTAGCGCAGATGCGTATGACTAGGCCGTCGTGATGGACAAGTGGCTTGTAGAAGTTGTTATATTCTTCATCCGAGTCCATCTTGGGAGGCAAGTTGCGTTTCAAGAAAGGCATGCGCATGTCCGAGAAGAGAACTCCCTCAGTGGGATCGCGCATCGTGTAGGCAGAAACGTAGTAGGACCATCGAGCTTCATGACCCAGGCCGTCACTTTCCAGTGTGCTCTGATCTGGGGTCAAAAGCTGGACCAAGACATGTTTCGAAGCAGGGACCTGAAGACCAACACGTTAGTACTAATTCACAGTCGAAAGTTGAACTATGGATCCTTACAAATGTGACACGATAGATATCTCCTTCCTTGATTAATCTTTCCACCTGTTTGCGATATTGGAGCTCTTGGTTATGAGTTGTCTCCTCTTTCTCTCGCTCTTTGTAGAACAGATTGATAACATCCGAGCTTCTGTCCTTGACATCACCATTGAACACACCGGCAGCGTACTTTGCAATACCACCCATGATTCTATCAAGCTGATAGAGTTGCCATCCGTTCTTCATGTAGAAGCGGCGCAGGGTTTCCTCGAGATGCGTTAGCTCCAAATTACCCGTAATCGCCTCTTCACACATGCGGATGATCTGGTGGTACAAGTTTGCTTTGGGGTCGGTGTCATAAAGCAGATCAGCGGGCGTTTTGTCAATCATTCCCAGCTCCAAGGCGGCCTTGGGTGCCATGGAACGACGAACGGCCTCATGGGCTTCCTTTTCATACTGCTTCACATTCAACAGCCGACGATAAAGAATTTCAAAGGTATATAGGAAACAGTAGATGGTAAGATTGCAGTAGAAATGGTGGACTTTCTTCTTGTAGGGCTCGTTGAGCGGGTATTCCCGTTTGTGATGGAAGTTTCCGCGAGTAGGATGGTCCATCCATCGAAGCTCGGCGATATCAAAGTTATCACCTGAACGAGGCGCGGGTGTGGAATCGTTCATCGACAGAGGAGTTGATGCTCGACTTGCGGCTGTAGAACCAGCTCTGAGGTCAAGTTCGGGCCGGTTAGACCGATCTGGGCATCTGTTGAGAACCTCGCGCAGAAGCTCGAATTTCTTCCCGCTTGTGATGCGCTTTGGTCGTATGGGAGCTTCGTCCGGTGAGCTATCATCGTCGGCATCCTCACTTGCCGATGAACTGTCATACACCTCTGATAGGTAGTTCTTGAAAGCCTCCCGGTCAATTCCGAAAAAGACGGGAATGAAGTCCTTGATAAAAGCCATAACGCGCTGCGGATCAGCACCAAAGCCAGCAGAGCTGTGGTCGAGATAACAGAGCAGCAGATGGGTGGCATCAAGGACCACCTCGGAATCCTCGAAGGCGAAGTCCATCTGGTAATTGGAGACATGGACTCCAGTCCTACGACGATTCCGGCCTTCTTCAAACTTCGTCTGAATCTCATGCTGGATATGTTTGCTCAAGAACACCTTCTTGTCGTTGCCCTTCATGATGATAGCCTGGTGATCTAAACTTCGCCAGAAACCCTTCTGCATCTGTTCTCGCCACACCTTATCCCATTCACGCTATATTTAGTCAGTACCAAGCTTTTATACAAGTTTAATAGGAAGGAAGGAGTAACCGTACCTGTGTTGCTTTCCATTCTTCGCATTTCTGCTTCAGCCGGGCAAGCACGATCGGCAGCACGAGGCAAGGCCGGTTAAACATCTCTTCGATGACTCGCTGGCCGGGTTCGCGGTCGTATATCTTCTTGATGACTCGTCGGTAGATGGTTTCACTCTGTCCTCCAAGGCCGGGTGGCAGCTTGAACGACGACCTATCACTATCACTCATAAGTGAAATCTGCTGCACTAGAGGCTCCAGAAGCTGAATAGTGCGGATGCAGGCTTCGATATGGTGGTCATAGTCGTGGCGGTCTTCTTCAATACGGTGCAGAGCATCCTCATACTGGTTCTTGCGATGGGCAACGAAGCCGGAATCCTCAGAGGCCCATGTTGGGTGAGAGGCCCAGTCATCGTTCAATACGCTCCTACATAGCTCATCACGGCCACTGCAAGCCTTTTGACGCTCACGCTTAGGTAGAAGACGATAACTTGGTCCCAGGGCACGGCAGTGAGAGAGATTGACAGATCCGGAGTCGGGTTTGGCCTTGGGTTCGATAAGCTCGTCCTTCGGTTCGATATGCATGAATCTCTTGAACCAGGACATAATTTCCTGGTTTGCGCCGATGAAACCTGCGGCACGATTGACGAGGACATTGCGGTCAATCAGGTCCGCAGAGTACAGGTTGCAGAGCTTGAGGAATTCTCCGAATGTTTGCTTGTTGCCTATGAATTTCTTCACCCGGTCGAAGAAGGCATATTCTTCGTGGGAGGGAGTGAGAGAGAAACTTGGAGGTATCGGCTCAGGCAATGCAGGGACCAGAGTTGGTGAGATGGTAGGTTGATGAGCATCCGTGGCAGATGGCTTATGGCTCAGTTTTGTTCTCTTGTTCATGCCAATCTGCTGGGGGCCATTCTTGTTCATCTGGGCACCATTCATGTCGCCAACTGCTGGCTGCATGCCGGGCATTCCTCCGCTGACGGCCTGGGCACCTGGAGCACCACGTCGTTTTTTGTTCTCCTTGGTTGAGTCTTTGACGTTAAACTGTCCTAGCGGTGGCATCTTCACATCACTTCTCGCCATCTGGGGTTGTGGCAGGCCTGCAGAACCATAGCCGGGTTCTCCGCGTACATTGCTGATTATGGGAACTTCTTCCTGCGACTGGCGGGTTGAAGGTGTAGCTTGAGCTTTCGCTTGTGCGGCGGACTCTGGTAGGAATTGTTTAAAGTCTTCTAGGAGATCAGGAGCGGCACCGAAAAGGTGAGTGACCTGGGTATAAACGTCTTGGATGGGCTTGGATTCGCGTTGATATGTTTGTAAAATTTCAAGGAATTGTTTGTATATCTCGGGGGAGTCGGAGAAGCGATTCTAGGGAAAACAAAATATTAGTTCAATTAACTGTAATATGAATGGCACCTAACTTTGCAGGAATCTTAAATACCTTGATTTTATTAACGTAACTAATGGCATGGTTAAACTCAACAGGCCCACGCTTCGAAGCATCAACCTGACCAGGCATAACACCCGACGGGCCCATACCGGCGGCCATAGAGCCCATAGGCTGTGATGGGCCGGGTGTATGAGAACCCGGCGGGAGCTGCATCATTGGCTGCCGACTTGCACCGGAGGCGACCGATACAGCATTCTGCAACTGCGAAACTCCGCGTTGTTCCTGCTGATGAACCATTGAGGCGGCCTCGCTGGAAGCTTGTTGCTCATGCTGAGCCTGGTAATCGTACTGTGTGTCCTGAGATGGGTTGTGCCTAGACTGCTGTTGCTGCCCGTACATTCCAGCGGCCATATGCTGCGACTTAGGCGAGTATGAGCCAGGCGCACCTGATGGATGGCCTGGCTGTGCCTGTTGCTGAGCATGGCCATGCTGCCATGCGCTGCGAGGCTGGTCGTAGTATTCAGGGCGTGAAGCCGGAGCGGATTGTACTGCAGGGCCGGCGCCTTCGGGGGCGCCTAACGAGGGTCTAGAACCGGACTGCATAGAGATGGTATTTGTGCCCGAGGGAGTGGTCACGCGGATCGCATCAGGGTTATCGTCTGTTCCACATTCTATACGGTACCCGGGGGGTAGGAAGGTGTTGAATCCTTGAATCAGAGCAGGATGGCCGTTAAAGAGGGTCGAAACACGCTGAATGACGCCGGGTGTATCGATACTAATAGACTGTCAGCTTTTGTGGTGTATATTCCAATGTAGTCCACATGTAACGCACGCTTGGCTTTTGAAATCCTTCATAATGTCAAGGAACCGGTTATAGACTTCTGGCTGCTCGACGAAGCGGACCTTGACCTGGTCGAGATAGCTGAGCGCATCCTGTTTATTAGGCGCCATTAGCAGGGATTCAACTTGTATGGAAAAAAAAAAAAATCGACTTCGATGTGTGCATAGGTAGGGGAATTGAGTATATAACGGAAAGAAAAATCGTAAAAAAAAAGAAGTAGGAAACAGTGCATATATGGTACGTGAGGAGTAGGATAAGTGAAATCAGCTCCGACCATGCAGTCATTCTCAGCACGGTGAATGAAATTCACGGGACATTCCATTTTCCAGTATTTCCCATCAGTTTAGACGGCTGACGAGGGTAACACATCGTTTTCATTGTGTGTGCTCCATTCACACAGGCAGAGCTTGCTTCTTTTGTATGAAAAAAAAAATGGGGTGGAAAGTAAGGGCAAACTTACGTTTAATATGGGTTGCTGGCCCTGTGCTAGAGCAGCCACACTGCCCGGAACCTGAGAAGGGCCGGAGTTGAAAGCGAGGACTGGCTGGGAGGGCTGGAGATACTGGCGTGGTGGCCCCTCGCTGTGTTGCATGGAGCTACCAAACAGGCTGGAAGGTGGGTTTGAAGCCTGAATAGAAGGCTGTGGCGCGTTAGTGGCCGTAGCCAGATTCGAGAGCAGGCCATTGGGTCCGTGGATCGAGCTTGGTACCTTTGAAGCAACTGGCTGATGAATGGGGATGGATCCCGTATGACTTTGAACCGGGTGTGGCTGTTGTTGTTGTTGCTGTTGTTGCTGCTGCTGCTGTGCCTGGGCCTGTTGTTGTTGATGTTGCTGTTCACGGTGATACCTATCAGCCATCTCACGCTCTCGCTCACGCATCTCGTTCTCTCGTTCCATCTCTCGCTCGAGCTCAAGCATTTCTATCTCTCGTTGGCGAGGTCTGCGGTCCCGTTCACGTTCACGCTCGCGGTCGTGACTTATTGACGATGGAGGCGAAGTGTGCTGGATGGTCTGGCCGATACCGGGCAATGCGTGACCCCGTCCTAGCGGCTGCTGCTGGTGCGGACCATAGCGAGAAGCCTGCTGTTGCTGTTGCTGTTGCTGCTGCTGCTGCTGCTGCTGCTGCTGATGTGACTGGGGCGCTGGAGGAGGAACAGAGGCGCCTTGCGTGAGATCTGCGAGCGTGGGGAGCGAATGGCTTGACTGGCTTGCGGAGTGATATGGGCCTGCAGAGGACATCGTTAGTCGTATAGAGCAAAAAGATAGAGTGGAAAGCAAACAGCAGTCGTACCTTGCGGCGGAGGGAGGGTACGCGACGGCTGTTTCGACGCCTGGTCATCCAACGGAGTGTTTTGCCTTTTTTCCCCGAATGCGCAAAGCGCCGTCAGCTTGACATGTCATATTAAGGGCACATGTGCCAACTGCTAGCAAGGCCAACAGCAACGATCAACCAAGGAAAAAGCGAGAGACAGAGAGAGAGAGAGGATATACCCAAAAGCACCGACTGGGCGCGCGGACTGCTGGCCCATCTGGTCTACATGGTGAGGCTGCGGGCCAGCACCCGGATGCCACCCATCTTTACCCGACGGATTCATACGGTGCAACACGCCGAGCAGCCGGACCTCAGCCAACAACGAGTGTCAACGAGACGGGGCAGAGGGCACAACGGGAGCAGGATAGCAGTTATCGTCCTGGTACGCCGTCGACTGGAAACGCAGCTCGACCAGCAACGGGCCGGAAGAGTTTGAACTGGGCCAGCTCAAAACGAGTGGAGGGAGGGTCGCTTTCAGGGGCGAGCTGCGGCGCTGGACATGGGACAAGGCCGCCAGAGTCGAGCGCCGGCAAGGCAGCAGGCTGGTCAGGCAATCGGCGGGCTATCGATCTCTGCGACTGCGAGCTTTGGGGGGCGGCAGGGCGACGGCGGTTTGCTGCTGGCTGTTGTTTTTCGGTGAGGCTTGGAGGAAAAAGCTGGAGTAAGCGTAAAATGGTGTTTGCTTCTCGCTGGATCTTTCTTTTGCAACGGAAAAACTCCAAAAAAAAAAAAAAAAGAAAAAAGACCCTAAGCTGGACGAGAAGGGAAAGGCGGTGAGTTAGGTAAGCAGGCGACAAGAAGCGCCCGGGCGGCTTTTTTTCTGCCGGCGAGGCTAGGCCTGAAAAGGACTAGTGGAAGTTTGTAGTCACGTGAAGGGGTATCGACGTCATCTCGCGTGACTTGCTGACAAAGGGATGACTAATCAGGTACAAAGTCAGGGAGGAGGGAAGCAGCAAAACAGAAGGAAGTAGACAGTAATAATAACAGAGGGAGAACAAGAGACGAGTAGACGGTAGACTCGGTAGGGACAAGATAGATAGATAGACAGACAGACAGACAGACAGATAGATGGAGAATGGCAAGAATATAGATGCCTGACGGTTAAATATTATAATGCAGGTTGATGCCGTCGCGGGTTATTTCATCTGTGCTACCGGCGTCCAGCAGCTCAGCGGCCAGTCGCGTCCCGTGTTATTGCCCTTACTCTCCTGCTGAGCTATCCGGCGCCTCTGCTTCGTCTGCCTCCATCGTCGCCGTCGTCGCCGTCGCGTGTTTGGGGGATCAGGTTACATCCACGTGACCCGCGATCTCCCGCCCAATGGACCCAAAGAAATCACATGCATCCCGAAGCTCCCTCCTTTCGTCCCAGCGCAGCGCGGCTTCATTTCACATGCGAGAGAGAGAGAGGCAGCTAACCAACGACGCCCTCCCTCCCCGCCTGTCCACTCGCACGATAGGCCCCCAGCCCGCCTTGTCTGCCTGCGTCTCCCGCCCGCTCCATTACTCCATTATTATTATTATTTTCCTGCCGTCGTGGATCTCTTTGAATTCTGCTGGCAAAGACTCTGGGGAAGCAACGCCAAGACGATGCCAAGCCGATCCGGGGTAGCTGCGGGCCGTCGTTGTTCCGGTGTTATGCTTACATGTGCGGCCCGCTGATTGGCCAGGATAGAGTTCGGCCGGCTGAACCTCGGCTGGAGCTTCGGCGTTGCTCCTCCATCATCGTTCGACTTTCCTTGATATCTCGACTTCGTTCTTCTTCTTCTTCTTCCTCTTCTTCTTCTCTTCTTCTCCTTTTCTACCTCCTCGCTCACCACCTCCTTCTACCGCGCAGCCTTCTTCCTCTTCCATTGCACTATACACTCCTGACCCTTTTTGTTTTCTTTCTTGTTTCCTGTAATCCGTCATGGCTCCCAGGGTTATTGTTGTCGGCGGTGGATGTAAGTTGTCCCTCAACCAGGTACGGTGACGGGCCGCGACAGGATGAAACTGACTGACCTGACTTGCTTCACAGTGTCTGGCCTCAGTGCTGCCCACACAGTCTACCTCAACGGAGGAAACGTCTTGCTGTTGGATAAACAGAGTGAGTTTTGAGTCTGGCTTTACTTTTGCGCAGCTCGTGGTGGTGGACTCTGGCTGAATTAGTTTTATAGACTTCTTTGGAGGAAACTCGACCAAGGCCACCTCTGGTATTAACGGAGCCCTTACCCGCACCCAGGTCGATCTCGGTATCCAGGACAGCGTCAAGCAGTTCTACGAGGACACGCTCAAGTCTGCCAGAGACAAGGCCCGCCCTGAACTCATCAAGGTCCTCACATACAAGTCGGCCGCCGCCGTCGAGTGGCTGCAGGATGTCTTCAACCTCGATCTGACCCTCGTGTCTCGACTTGGGTGAGTCTCTTATGCTATAGAAACTGGTGAAAATGCAAGGATTACTGACGGGTAGCAGTGGACACTCGTTCCCCCGAACACATCGTGGCCATGATGCCAAGTTCCCCGGCATGGCTATCACCTACGCCCTGATGCAGCGCCTGGAGGAGCTTACCGAGAAGGAGCCTGAGCGCATGAAGGTGCTCAAGAAGGCCAGAGTGGTTGCTGTCAACAAGGAAGGTAACCAGGTCACCGGTGTTACATACGAGTACAACGGCCAGACTCACACTGAGGAGGGTGTTGTCGTCCTGGCTACTGGTGGTTACGCTGCCGATTTCACCGAGACCTCCCTCTTGAAGAAATGGCGACCAGACACCCTTGGCCTGTCCAGTACCAACGGTGTCCACGCCACCGGTGACGGCCAGAAGATGCTCATGGCCATTGGTGCTAATGGCATTGACATGGACAAGGTCCAGGTCCACCCTACCGGTCTCATCGACCCCAAGGACCCAGGCTCCAAGTGGAAGTTCCTTGCTGCTGAGGGTAAGCCAACATTTATGATACAGAGAAAAGTTGTGAACTAGATGCTAACTTGTTCCATTCTAGCACTCCGTGGCGAGGGTGGTATCCTGTTGAACTCGGACGGCGAGAGATTCGCTGACGAGCTCGGCCACCGTGACTACGTCTCCGGCCAGATGTGGAAGGAGAAGGAGAAGAAGAAGTGGCCCATCCGCCTTGTGCTCAACAGCAAGGCCTCCAACATCCTCGACTTCCACACCCGCCACTACTCCGGGCGTGGACTGATGAAGAAGATGACCGGAGCCGAGCTCGCCAAAGAAATCGGCTGCGGCGAAGCTGCCCTCCGCAAGACCTTCGACGAGTACAATGCTATCGGCGAGGGCAAGAAGCCCGATCCATGGGGCAAGAAGTTCTTCCACAACCTGCCCATGACGGTCGATGATACCTTTTACGTTGCGCTGATGGAGCCTGTGCTGCACTTCACCATGGGCGGTATCGAGATCAACGACAAGGCCCAGGTTCTCAACAGCGAGAAGAAGCCCTTCGACGGCCTGTTCGCCTGCGGTGAGCTTGCCGGTGGTGTCCACGGCGCCAACCGCCTCGGCGGATCCTCTCTGCTCGGCTGTGTCGTCTACGGCCGTGTTGCCGGCGACTCTGCCAGCCAGTACCTGTTCCAGCAGCTGCTCAAGAACCCTGCTGCGTCGTCTGCTGCCGGCGGTGCACAACAGCGCCTGAACCAGATATCCCTGCACATCGACCCCAACCAGCCCGGCAAGGTATCTGTCGAATGGAGTGCCCCGTCAGGTAAGCCCTGCACCACCCAATCCCTCGCAGCCCCAAGCGCAACAACAGCCTCAGCTTCGACCTCGGCGTCTCCCACGTCGTCGTCGTCTGCTCCGGCGGCCTCTTCGGGGGCTGGCGCTGGTGCCACCTCTGCCGGTCCTGAGCCCGTCGCCGCTGATGTAGCAAGCTTCAAGGTGCCCGAGAAGGAGTTCACGATGGAGGAAGTAGCGAAACACAATAAGAAGGACGACCTCTGGATCGTGGTCAAGGGTGTGGTGATGGATGTGACGAACTGGTTGGACGAGCACCCTGGTGGTGCGCAGGCCCTGTTCAGCCATATGGGCCGAGATGCCACTGAGGGTAAGTCTTAATCTTCACTCTACTCAGTTATGTATTAATACAAACTAACGGTGTTTCCTAGAATTCGAGATGCTTCACGACGACGAGGTTATCCCCAAGTACGCTGCCGGTGTCGTCATTGGCCGTGTCAAGGGCCAGACACCCAGCCTGGAATACTAAGCCTTGCACACACAGTTGTTGTATATACGCATCTACGTCTTTTTCCGCGTCTTGTCTCTCCTGTTTGTCTCTTATATCCCGCATCAGAGATGTACTTTTACGACCAATCTATCGAGAAATTTATTTCATCTATATGCCCATACATATATCTATCGTACATGTTCACGTCAAAGTCATGCAAGCTCGAGTTATATGCTCTTCTTCTCCTTTAAATGCGCCAACACCATCCTCAGGCGTGCCACAGCCGGCCCGTCGCCAACTGCAGCCCCTTGTTCCCCCCTTTCAAGCTTCTCCTGCACCTCCTGCCTCGCCTCTTCCACAGCAGGCTTGAGAGAACCCCATACCACATCTTGGTACTCCCGGTCCAGGTCCAGCCACTCCGCTACACCGGGCAAGTCACGCAGATGCTCTACCCGAGACTGCGGTGAAATACCACGTAAGGAAGAGAGAACAAAGTCGATGTCCGGTATTAGCGATGTAGAGGATATATCATGTTGTTGCTCTCCGTGCTGGTTTGTCGTAAGAAAGCTCATGTCTGGCTCTGGTTCTGGCTGTAGGTCGTCTGGGCCCGTATCCGGTAGAGACGACGGGTCGAAGGTGGCAGACGACAGCAAATCCGAAACAGCCTGGCCGTCTCTCCGCTCTTGTTCGGTGACTGCAGAGGGAGTAGCATTGGTAGAAGCAGATTTCCAAGCAGAATCGAACTGCTCGTCTCCCATATGTACTTCCCTGCCTTTCCCCTTGGAGCTAGCAGTAGATGTAGATATATAGCCGGTACCATCATCATCAACAGGCAAGCTTCCCTGCTGAAACTCCCTCTCCTGGTCTATCAAGCTCGACTGTATCCCCTGAGAAGGCAGTGACCGAAGAGCCGAGCCTGGCTGCGTAGATGATGAGCCATGGTATATCCCGCCCTCTACAGCTGCTCCTGGTCTGGCTGCCGAAGAAGAAGAAGAAGAAGCACCACCACCGGCCTTTTCAGAGCTAGAAACGCCCGCCAGCGAAGAAGACACGTCCCTTGCAAAGGCGTAGAAGCCCGCTGGCGTCGAAGCAGAGGGTGTAATGGCTGATTTCAGCAGCCCTGCAGCGGAGGACTGTATCCTGTCTGCCATTGACGTAGAGCCAGAAGAGGGCTTGTCTGGGCTCTGCGGCTGCTTCTGCTGCTTCTCATGCTTGTCTTCCGTCTTCTCGTCCATGCCGGCTAACTATCTCGTCTGGGGTCCGTCGAGTCTAAGTAGATCGAGGGCTGGCTGTGAGTTTATATAGCGGCTTGTACCAGGTATGATGCAACTCCTTGCCTAGGCGGCCAGAGACTTGCATGTGAAGGGGGAGAGTTGGGCATTGACAGCTCTTTGCTTCTTCTCTGAACCAGCCAGACTGTGGGGGAGAGATCGATGTGCTACCTGCTTGTCTGTATGTCTATCCTGCTGGCTACTACCATCATCTGAGCGAGCCTGAGGGTTGACTGTCTGTCTATCTTGTCTGTCTTGTCTGTCTGCCTTGTGGCGTAGCTTGACTGACCATCGCGAGTGACTTCATCTTCACCATTCACTAACTATCTATCATCCTTCACTCTCTTCTGCCTCTGGCTGTCTACTACTAATACATCCCACCAGCTCTGTCAAGCAGTCACAGGTAAGTCTCTTGCTTCTCTGCTTCCATGCTCTCGAGCTCTCTGCTGGCCTCCTCCGAGCTCTGCTGTGGCTCCTGGTGGCCTTCTCCCCTCTTGACAGCTGCTCTCTTCCTTCACTGCTCTCTGTCTCTCTTTTCTCACTGCTATCTGACTACTTAAACCAGCTGCGCAGTTGACTGACTCCTGGCTTCTTCTCTGCTTCTCCAGCTTAGCTCTCTCTCTCTATCTATCTATCTACCGCCGTCTCTCTTCCTCTGCCAAAAAGCACCACCACCTTACGCAGGCAGCTTTCTTTCCTGCAAGAACAGCACAATAAAACATCTGTCCAACAACCATCCAGCCAGCGCCTCTTCGGTCCCTTCTTGTCGCCTCTCTCTCGGTAGGCAACTCCTGCAGCCTTCTTCTTCTTCTTCTTCTTCTTCTTCGTCTTCGTCTCTGCTGTGTCTCTTTTACTGCGCTGCCCACCAAAGAGGTGCATCCCTCTCAAAAAAGGCAGAGGAAAAGGCAGAGAAGACAGATGAAGGCCAGCTTAAGGACCCTGCATCTTCTCTTCTTCTTCTTCTTCTTCTCCTGCTATTCTATCCTACTCTACTCTATCTTCCTCTGCTCTATTAACTGTGTCTGTCTGTCTGTTCGCACTAACTGAGCGACCCCCCCCCCCCCTCTTAGGTGAGCTAACTAAACTAAACTTAACCCTCTCTTAACTACTTTTTTTTTTATCTCCCTGGCTGGCCTTATCGCCCCCAAACCAAACCAAACAACCACCAAAACCACCACCACCACCTCCTCCTCCTCCTCCGACATCGACGTCGACCAGCCAGCCGCCCACCACCCACGCCCGCCATCGACCGACTCTCGAACCCCAGCTCAGGTAGACGGACAGCAGGAGACACCGCACGACGGCCGCCTGTCTCGAGATCCAACGAGTCTCTGCTCTTACGGCTTGGTTTTGCTTCGCTCGGAACGGCGTGAGACAGTGAACAATGGTAGACGGCGATCCAGGTTCACCCACCTGGAAGTTCACACAGTCTGTCCTCCCTGACTCCCGCTCGATTCGTGCTCAGGATCTCGGTTGCTGACCTCCAGGACAGGTGCTTCGGCGACAAGGGCGATGTAGAAGACATAACAGAAGGTATTTTTTATTTTATTTTATTTCTTATTTTACTTTTTCGCCCCGACTTGAACTTGTTGACAGCTGGAACAAACCGACTGACGCCGCCTCCTCTCTTAACTAGCTGATATCATTTCCACCGTCGAGTTCGACCACACCGGCAACTATCTCGCTACCGGAGACAAAGGTGGCCGAGTCGTCCTGTTCGAGAGAAACGAGACGGTTAGCAGCTCTCCTTTCCTTTCCTTGCCAAAGTCAAGAGTTCACGTTCGACTGACGCCCCCCGGGGGGGAATCAATAGAAAAAAACATGCGAGTACAAGTTCCATACGGAGTTCCAATCCCACGAGCCCGAGTTCGACTATCTCAAATCCCTAGAGATCGAGGAGAAGATCAACAAGATAAAATGGTGTAGACGGCAGAACGCATCGCATTATCTCCTATCTACAAACGACAAGACCATAAAGCTATGGAAGGTCTTCGACAAGTCGCTCAAGGTAGTGGCAGAGAACAACCTGTCCCGCGACCTCACCCCGGCCGGCGTCGTCAGCGGCGGTGGCATCGCCCGCCCTCCTCGCGTCTCCTTCAAGGACTCCTCTGCCCTCAAGCTCCCTCGAATGACGCACCATGAGACAGTCGTCGCAGCCGTGCCCAGGCGGATATATGCAAACGCCCATGCATACCATATCAACAGCATATCGGTCAACAGCGATGGAGAGACCTTCATCAGCAGCGACGACTTGCGCATCAATCTCTGGAACCTTAACATCCAGGACCAGAGCTTTAACATCGTCGACATCAAGCCTGCTAACATGGAGGAATTGACCGAGGTCATCACCGCCGCAGAGTTCCACCCCACCAGCTGTAACTGGTTCATGTACGCAAGCTCCAAGGGTACCATCAAGCTTGCCGACATGCGGCAGCGAGCTCTATGTGATGAACATCAAAAACGTACGCTCCCCCCGCACACACACTATCTATCACTCTCTATCTTTTCCTCTCTATCTTTTCCTCCAAGTCTACAATATACTAACGGCTTCTAGAATTCGAACAAGAAGAAGACATCACCTCCCGCTCATTCTTCTCCGAAATCATCTCCTCCATCTCCGATGTTCGCTTCTCCCATGACGGTCGATACATCCTCTCCCGTGACTACCTTACTGTCAAAATCTGGGATGTCAACATGGAGCGTCAGCCCGTAAAAACCATCCCCATCCACGAACATCTCCGCCCACGCCTCTGCGACACCTACGAAAACGACAGCATCTTCGATAAGTTCGAAGTCGTCTTCTCTGGCGACGCCCAAAACGTCATGACGGGAAGCTATAACAATAATTTTATGATTTACCCGACCGACCCCACCAAGGAAACAGAGGTCGTACTACAGGCGGATAAGACGGCGTTCAAGGCTAAGAAGGTCGGCGTCCCGACGCCAATCAACTCTACGGCTTCCACTAACGCTGGGAAGAAGAACGGATCCAGATCCGGTAGCCCGTCCGGCGCGGGGGGACGGATGAGGAAGGAAACGGATGCTGACCAGATTGATTTCAACAAGAAGATCTTGCATATGAGCTGGCATCCATTTGAAGACAGCATCGCCATTGCTGCCACTAATAATGTAAGCTCTACTTCATCATCGTCATCATCATCATCATCAACCTGCACCATTTTGCTAACCCGATAACTCTTAGCTTTTCGTGTTCTCCGCTCTATGAGAAGCATAGCTGCAGTCTCGATATATCCTAAGCTTCTATTACCCCATCTACTCTGGCCCTATCGACATCACTCACCCTTCAACATGTTAACCTCTTCCGTCTTCCATCCTCATCCTTCATCTCCCCGCCACACATCCCCCTTCGAAATCCTGTCTCTTTGTCTTTTTTTTCATTTACCATCACTATCTTTCCATTCCATGGACCCTGGCAACAGGTAATATGACAATCATGCCTCCATTTTCAACCACATCCCAGAAAGAACCATCCATACATATCCGCCATGACCCAATAAAGGAATGAATAGTGACTCCCTCTATGCTCGAGGGAAAGTACCTGCCCCATAAAATAACTGAGTTCTGAATATCTACTACTACTACTACACCAACAACAGATCATTCTCCACCTTTTTTTCAACATTTTATCTCTTCCCATATCCTCCCTCCAAACTGCAGACTCCCAGTTTTCTTATTCATTCGTTCCCCTTACTTACTTTACCTGCTTCCTCTCGCTTTCATAGAAGTGGAGACAAGACCGCTTAGCATGGACGATAAACACTCCATACCACCCACACACTCAAATACCCAATATACACACCCCCATCTACCCGCCCCCCTGTTGCTCTAGACGCCAAGCATTGACTTAAAGTGAAAATGGAATGGACTCGACGGAATGGAGAAGGGATACAACTGGCTGGCTGGCTGGCTGGCTAGCTAGCTAGCTAGCTAGTTAGGCATGGATATGGATATGGACATGGCCGGGGCTAGGGATACGGTTATGGAATTGTGCGAGAGATGGCTTCGGTTCTGGGCCTGGGTGCAAAAGACATGGGCATCATCGAATCAAAAACACAAAAGTAAACTAGAAAGATTCTCTCTAGTCTAGAATTAGGATGTTATCGAACGAAAAAAAAAATATGTTCTTGTTACTTCTGCTGCTATTAAGCTGGCTATATACTCCGTAGTCAACTGGGTTTCTTGACATGTTCGTGAGGTTTGGCATCTGGTCCTGGCCCCAAGTGTCAGTTAAGGTTGCGGCCTGTCCCGTCAACGGACTTGGTCCCCTCATCCCTGTGGTTAATTATTTAGAACTGGACGAGATGGTAATGTCGTACCTCTTAAGACATCAACGACATGTAACTGTACAATAAAACCTGGACCTAGGTGTGGCCATATCCACGCTGCTATGAACATCACACGTACACACGTACACATTATCATTAGCTGTATTCCGTAGATATAAGTTTTAATATACAGTCCGTGGAACCGAACGAACATCTCACATAACTAGGAAACCTAGTCAGTCATTAAATAGGTTAAGTGTAAAACCTCATGAATCTTCTCAACGTCCCTACTCCGCAAATCGACTTCTTCTTCTTAACGCGGGCCCGTACAAGTACAGGGCATACACCCCAAACACACAAGCAGCCGTCAACGCCCCGATCAAACTTGTTCCCTTTGCTATTCCGAGATTCCGATACAGCGGGCCAGACCATAAAATCGACGCAAATGCTAATGTCGACCGGGCAAAGTCGTTCATGGCAAAAAGGCTGGCGCCGTACTTCGGGTATGCGACTGCCATGTACCCGAACATACATTGCAGTAGGGTAATTACACCAGCCATGATGAAGAAGAACCCCAACGTTGGCACGATCCAGTGGATGTCCTTCTTTGATGTCCAGGCGAACAAGAACATGCCTGTGGGCACGAGCAACGAGCCAAGAAGGGCCGGTATAAGTCTGCGTTCTGGTGGAGGGAAGGTGCCGCTTAAAATGGGCTTGGAGATTGCAAAGTGGGTAACAATGAAGTAGAACGGCATGATAGTTAAAGCCGCAACAATGGCAGTGAGGAATACAAGTCCCATGTGTGGTAGGCTCATGTGGTATATGTCGAGGTAGACGAGTGGGAAGACCTCAAAGAAGGAGTAGAAGATGGCGTAGACCAGTGCGGTGTAGACGGTGGTGAAGAGGATGGCGGGATCCAAGGCATTGATTTTCCAGGGAATAACTAGGGCGGCGTTCACTATGGCACTAATAGATGACTTGGACTTGTCGAGATCGGAGGGAGCCTTGAAGGCATTGTTACCCGTAACTTTTCTGAGCCTTTTTGCACGACGATGGAGAATTGTCTCGGAAGAGGTTTCGGGGAGGAAGAACTGGATTATAGTTAATTTTGAGTCTTACATTAGAAAAGTGTAAGGGTACAACGAACCAGAAGTATTAGACATGGTACTGTGCCCCAGAGAACTTCCCACATGGACCACCGCCAACCTTTGACCACAGAGCTAAACCCGCCGATAGTAGGGGCCACTGCAGGTGCAGAGGTAGCGAATGTGCCCCAGATCCAAAGGCCATAAGGCAGGTTGATGAGACTGGTCACATCCGCCAACGACGCAGCTCCAGTGGCTAGACACGGCGAGCCAAAGAATCCCTGGAGGAACCGTAGAACAAGAAAGCCAGGCGCATTATTAACCACACCAGTGATCACAGTTAAAACCATGAAAATCACCAAAGTGACTATGTATGGAGGATTGCGTCCGAGAGCTGTGATTTCTGACATCGGGCTGAAAAGCAACGGTCCAATTCCATAGCCCAGAAGGACCAGTGCAAGACCAAGAGAGCCCACGGACTGAGGGACGCCATATATTGTCATGAACT